AACTTTTTGACTCGTGGGCCACAACTGTCCTAAAATTGGAAGGGGGGCGGGGATCAGGAGAAAATAGTGTTTGTTTGAACTAAGATATATGACGTTAAAGTCATGCATAAAGGCTTAAATGCTAAAATCCTTTTAATATTTTCTACGCCATCTACTGGGAAAACGTGGGTATTGCAGGGAAAAGGCAGAAGTAAAATGATAATATAAATAAATTATATCATTTGGAAAAGATTGGCAGGCCGGATCAAAAAGCTGAACGGGCAACATCTGGCCCCCGGGCCTTAGTTTGCCCATGCTTGGTCTATAACCAACATTTTTTATAAACTTGGTCAGTACTTAACAACCCAAGGAGACAATTTTATCAATTCATTAGTTCACAAAGAGCCACTGTATTGCTGTACTGTATGAAGTTTTAAGTATTATAATACAAGATTTACATAAACTACATAAAGTTGTTGCTAAATACATATGGTCGACCAAAAATACCACGTGAGTCTATGTAATTGAATATAATGACCTTTTAGTTTCTATTGACTAATAAGTTAAACCTAATCCCGCTTAGTTGAACACAACCCTGACATAGTTGCAGGAATTAAAGAAAGACACTGAGGTTCTTCTTCAACAGGTTTGAGTATCTCTAAACTCTTTCGAGTTAGATTTTTACTATAGGATTTTGATTCCACCTTTTGGAGGAGCATTTATTGAAGGATTATACCCTATATGGGAGATGAGAGCTAAAGCATTAATGCTTATATAAAACTGCAGAGTTGCCTCTTTTGTGTGAATTATGCATATAAACAGTAGATTTTCTAGCATTGCCCACTTTGGTCAGTTGGCAGGGTACATCCTGGTTTACTACTTATATGCACATCAGACCCAATCTACAAACTGCATGTCTTTTATAGGAAGAAGTGAGCCACTTAAGTGGACATTGTAGATGCTAATGATATACTGAAAAACATCAGTTACAGTCAGGGCTCAAACTGGTAGTGTTGGACATCTATTCATATGCTAATACACGAGGAAACACAGTGAGATCACCAGCAGCAGGACGTGACACTGCTCCTGGCTTACTTGATGTTCGGGAACTTCCGTCGTACTTCCTCCACGAACACCGGCAGGTTGTTGATCTTGTTCTTGTTGATGCACACTGTGGTCACGCTAGGCATGTAGGGGAAACTTGCCGGGGGACGTTTAGTTGTTACAATCCAGGATCAGCGTGCTGAGCCTTTCCAACTGACCCAGCAGAGCCGGGTTCCAATAGAGACTGAATGAAGGAGAAACTTGCCGGGAAATTTGCCTG